AATTAAGCTATATATCTGGATCAAAATATCGTTCGCTATATATAATTGCATTTTATGTTTCAGGTTAACAATAAGATTTCTTTTTGCTGATTAAGGATTCTGCAATCAGATATGCAAGGGATCGGAGATATCGCTGAGACGATATCAAACCTCGTATCAAACGCGTAATATAATCAGGCGGCACGCGTGTTCCATATAAGTTTCCCGGTAAATCCGAAACGAATCCCGAGGAATCTCGACTTTCTTCCCGTCTTTCCCGCGCGGCGCGGCAATATCCTTAGATAGTAACCTCATCCGCCTCTGGTCCGCCTTCGGAAATTATTCGATCTCAGTTGCTGCTTGCCGCCTGACGGAATAAATGCTTACCCTAACACTTTTGGCCTCTGTTTGCGCATCCCGTCGCACCCCCTTGCGATTCGTAAACGTTTCGCCGAGTCGAAAACCGAGATGGGGCGCAGCAGGGGCGGCTCGTGGAATGCCCTCGTACGTGGCTTGCAAGGTAGATGGGTACGACGTTAACTCGCGGTGCACGGAATCGGGTTAATCGATTTCCGGATAACGTACGGACACGAGACACACGTGCGCCACGTACGCGTGCCTACAGGCGCCTACGAGGGAAGGAGGGAGAGAGGAAAAAAGGAAGAGAGAAAAAGAGAGGCTCGTTTGAACGTATCGGGACCGATACGAACAATATATCGCGTGCCGCGATAAAAAGAGTAACAAGACGAACGATGCTGCGATTACTTTTAGCTCTGTAAAAAGTAAAATTGCTCTGAAAAATGTATACGTTTATGTATATGTACGTCCAAAAGATTCAGCGCCTTTAATATGTTTTGCACATAAAAAAAAGCCAATCTCGTTGTAATTATCGATTATGGTTCTGCGTCCCTGATTCAAATAACGTGTTACCCCCTTTCGCTCTTCCCGTTTCTGATTATACGATTATAGCTTCATGACCGCGTTAATTCTCATTAAGTCGTAAATCGCCCAACCCGACTACCGGCGCGGCCAAGTAAGCTCATAATCGTCTCTCGCTTCTCTCGTGCCGCTCAAAGCCGAGCGTCAAACTTGAGTGTAAGTGGAGGACGAAACTCGTCTGACGTGGCCTGGAGCGATTCCGGGGTGGCGAGCGCATGACGACAGGCAGGTAGATAGGTAAAGAAGAAAGCGGTGGTTCCGGACAGTACGGGACAGTATTTAATGCGGTTGCCGTCCGTTTGCGGCCGTCGACAGCGCCGGGTAAGTCGGGGCTCTGGGACGCGGCTTTTATGCGATGTAATTCCGATGCAAATCTGTCTGTTGAACTTTTCACCCGCGTCGCGTCGCGCCGGCCTGCGGTCGTGCGCCACTACTCCGGTACTCCAGTACTCCGTATAATATGTGCCAAATATTATGCATCTTATCCCTCCAATCGCGAATTGTGCGTTTGAATGCTCGAATTCGCAGCTGCTTTATCTAGTTGCGTTGCAATTTGCTAAATTGATCGAATCGAAACTGAATGAATCAAATTGTTAACTCTAACAATGACTCTAGTTAAGCCTTAAGGATAGAAATCAGTTATATTCTATTGTGCCTAGCGCTAATTTATAAGATTTTACCCACCCGCCTTTAATAATATCTTGACAATAACTACTATTATGTTTTACCCATTACCCATACAAATTAATAACTCATCTTATGTATTAACAGCCGCTTAGGCGATCGATGTATCTTATTACACTTCTTTTGTAAAGTAATAACTGAAGATTCTAAATAATAAAATATATATATATTATTACGTTGCTACTTAGTGATTGCACTACTTATTTTACTTAAAAAAAAAAAATAATAAAAGCACCTCTTTTTCACATGACTCGTATGACTCATTGATCTAATGTAAAAATTCTCTCTTTCGCCATAACATCAATTTCCATAATAATGTAACATGTCGATGCACGTTGCTTTTACAGTTTATTACTTTCGCGACAATTCCTTCCTTGATATTCGAACTATACGACGTCGAACCGAGATGGGATGAATTTTTGCGAAGACACAGACACAAACGTGCGTTACAGATGCGGATGTTCATTCGCCGTTCAGTCATTCACCCTCCAGAATCCATCCTCTCGCAATCATCCCGTCGAACCCATTCGGTCTGGGGTGCGCGTGGATCGACGCTGGAAAGGTTGTCGTTTAAATCACATGGGCGGGGCTGAGAATCCCGGATACCGACCAGGAGCCGCCATCTGCACACCGCACGGCGAACAACCCCCTGAGCCAGAATTCACCCCCGCGACCTGGTCCGAGGGATGAAATCTTGTTCGCTCGGACTTGCATAACCCTTGCACGTGGCCGCCCTTCGATCACTTTACAATCTTAATTTCTTATTCTATGACTTGATATTATTCTAATATTATTTTACACACACATTTCAACCCCCTGTTTAAATCCATTTTTGTTTATCTCGATACATCTCAAAGCTTTTTGCATTACGTGTCATATAAAATTATAAACAAAATTTTCTTCTGAACTCTAATACGGATTATATTATAGATTGTCTAAGGTGAACTTAAAAACTCATGCGAATTATGAACCTAAAATTGAGTTATTAATATAATTATAAATAATATAAAATAATCTCGCCATTTCTTCAGACAGGTTTCCGAAGTTCACAGGTTCCGAAGTTATATTCTTACATTTTTCATTTTGATAGAATCTTTAAGATCTTCAAAAGAACGTAAGCGAAAATGTGAAATATTCATAAGATCTCCAGTCTTTTGCTCTTATAAATCGCGTGAAAATAACGGAAAAATTTAACACGAACTAGCGCTGCCTTTATATATCGGCACTTCGTTTAAATGGCTCAGCCCTGCATTTTTCGAATTTCTCGCGCTATTTACCCGCCGCGATCACTTTTTTTTTTATGTTCGCGCGACGACAATAGTGCGAATGCGTTCCGGCGCTGCGCCCCCGTTCGCCCCGCACCATTGCCTCTTCCTCATTGCACACACGAGGAGGCTGCGTCTCGCATTCCGCGGCCTCGCGGAAAATTGCGGCGAAAAATCCCCGGCGTTGTTCCACGTATAGCTGTCGGGCCTCGTAAAAAACCTTTCCCGCGCGCACGTGATTCCATAAATCTCGCATCCTTTATTTCAATGAGCGCGCGATATTGCTCGACTTACTCGCGCGGGAGAAAAATAACAAAGGTGAGAATTGCCAGACGTAATTCACCCCTCGTCGAGCAACACCCGCTGGCGGAGATTTCTCCACGACGCGACGGTATAATAGTCAGAGCGAGAGAACGATATGGCTCTCGCATCGATTGGTAATTTTAAAAATAATATTGCTTTAGTACCGGGACAGATAATAAAAAGAGTTTAATGAAATGTGTACATAATAGGGAGTCTCGTTAAAAAATAGCAAAAAAGTAATCTCAGAAACATAAAATTCGCTATATACGTATGTGCTTTTACGTTATTTTTCTTAGTTATTTTTTTCCAGTATCCTCGTGGAAGCGCGACGCCGGTTCGCAATATGGATATGGATCGACGCGAACGTCGATAACGGATAACACGTGCGCGGACTGTAAATGCAAACGCGGGATAAATTTAAAAGAAACCGGCTCGGAAGGGCCAGAGGTAACGTTCTCGAAAATCGGAGTATGCGGTGACAATCGCGTGTACACACAATGCAAGTGGAGGCGCACTTCGTGACCCAAAAATACCCTGCCACCCACCTCTGAGCGAATGCCACGAATGTTCGGGTCGCAAGGCGCGACGGAGACCACTAAATTCATGGCGCGCTAATCAATAATGTATTTAGTGTGCGAAACTTCGTGCCGGGATATATTCTAGCTGGGGACCACCACTGGCGAAAGGTGGTGGCCGAGCATTGTTCTGCGGCATCCAGGCCCGCGTGTCCGGCGGTCGGCCCGCTATCGTAAAGACCCGTGGAATAATTACGAGTTTCGCCGCATTGAATCAGGAATGTACCAAACAAGGCAGAAACAGCCGACCTGCAATTCCATTATTAATTCAATTAGTGCTAGACGCATATTGATCGCGGGATTAATACATCCCGCGGACCATAATCTCATTCCGACATCTGAACAACTGAAGCCGGCCGATATCGCGCCGTTCGTATCGGTATACACGGGATGTCGCGGATTGATCGTAACTTGTCGTAAATACGCGCTTTTGTATTAATTTCTTATGTAATAAAAATACTCAGATGTTTTTGATAATTAATTTTTTGAATAACACATTTTGAGCCGACATAGGACCAAGAATTCTTCAAGAAATAGAAAACGAAATATTAATCTTCGTTTAATTACAAGGCGATTTTACTCTAAATTCATTTTAATTTCAGACATAGTTACCGAATGTTTTTAACGAATATTTGAAAGTTGAGAAGATTAATCGAAGAATCAATAGATAAAACGAAACGCGAGAGATAAATCTAAAATATCGAATAACGCACCTTGTTTTTCATCAAGGTAAAGTGGTTTTAAAATGTAATCTTGATGGGATTTAGAATATTTCAGTTTCAAACAACTGGTTTCTGTAAACAAAAAAAACAAAAAAAACAAATTTTGCGAAGCGCACAAACACAAGATTATCGCTTTGGCGGTATTAACAATAATTATATTCGCATGAATAAAATATTGACAATGTACACTCCATTAGTGCTGAAATAAGTTTAAATAAAACATTGACATAAAAATAGCGTTAAAACGCGTTTGAAACATGTAAAGTGATAAATATTAAAAATATTTATATCGAACAAATTGAAAAAAATAAAATTCTTTGATGGCACAACGCTAAACATGATTCGCAAAGATTTAAATCACTACACGTCGCTCTATTAGCATCAGAACGTGCATAACGAGACGAGAAACGGTTACCGCAGCCTGATAACGACTGCAATTATTAGCCTTGCGCAAACTAACATAATTTTTATTTCGCACACGCTTAAACTGTGTACAAACCGCCACTTTGCCACTCGGCAAAAACCTCGTGCAAGATTCACGTGTCCAGTTGTACGCTAGAGAAATGAAAAAGTGAGTATTCGATACCGAGGTTATTCTCTACGCAAGCAACGGTAAAAATTAAGAAAAATGCGATCGCGAAGTTAAAAGATATACGATAATACGTGAACGATAAGAGGAGACTACAAACACTTTATTAACGCGTACCTGACACGAACCGCCTGTCGTGGAAAATATTTTTTTTTCTTCCTTGCTTTATTTTCGCGAGCGAAAATCGCGCAATTGCACGTGAAACAATCGAATTGGCCGATAGGTATTTGCATACGCGCGAAAACCTATGAGGCGACCGCAAAATCAAAACAGCTCGCGAAATAAAGAAATGAACAAACAGAGACGCGTGTCCCTTTTTTTTTACCGACACATCGACCATCCCACGTATAAATTCCGAATGAACAATATTGCGAGCGATATCACGAGCACGCTCGATGAAACTCCGAAAATATCATTTCAGTATCTAAACATTGCAACTATTTATTTTACAAAACAAATTTAAGTGTTGTCGTTACATAGCTTTTTCCCTCCGATCGTTTCCCGAATTCGTTAATAATAAAAACTACATAAAAACTTGTAACTAAAATCGAGCGATCGTTGACTAAAATGTGAAATATTGAAATTTTTTAAATAATTATTTAAACGGATTAAAATGAGAAATAAGTAAACAACCGAGGAAAAAAAGTACCATTAAATAAATCATTGATAAGGGATAAGTACCATAAATTAAATCATCTCTTTTCAAACCAATTAATTTTGTTTCCAAAGATTAAAAATAGTAAGTACGAAATGTTTTAAAAACCATAATTAAATACGAGTAACATAGGTGATGAAATTTTCATTAAATCTTGACATATTTCAGAAATTATGTTACGATGCTGGCTCTCTTGATGTGGTACTTTATGAAGTCAACACATGTATCAGGAGTGAAAAATATTACACACGGTGTATCGAGGCATATACGATCTATCGGATTTCCCGAGGGTAGCGCTTCAGGGGTACAGTGGATCAATCATTCATTTTTCATCTACTAATGTGTCTCGGACTGTACGGGCAGTCTGTTAACTCAATATTAATCATTCGCACTTCAAGCGCACTTCTGAAGTGTGATCAGATAAAAAAATCGAAGAAACCCGAAATAAACGTTTGTTTTAACATAACGGTAATTCCTACTCAACAATATTGAAAAGAATATCGAAAAAAATCACTTTATCCATCGCTAAAGAAATCATGATAAGAAACGTTCACTACAATTTGCTTTTAGCAATCTATAGCACATCTATAAAACTTGCAGATACTTTTCGCTTTGTAAATCAATATACCGACATGTTTCGAGAAATTAGGCTCATTGAAGGTTAAATTGATTAATCATTTTCTTTAAATGGGATTTAATCTGATTCGTAGATATTCTTCGCTCTGGGAATTCCCATAGATATTCCAGACAAATCTATAGCGGTGTCGTTTTATTTCGAAGCGAATTACGGATTGCCATACAAATGGAATTCGAGTTACTTCTACGAGGGAAGTTACTATGCAAAACGAAGTCTCAGTCGTCAACTAGTATACAAGGTGTTCACCAGTAAAATGGACAGGTAATAGAACTACACGTGTCAATTATTCTTTATCCCATATCCTGCAAAATTTTACCATAATTTTTAATAATTTAAAATATAATATTGCAAGTAAAATTTGAAAAATAATATAATTTCATACGTATCTTGTAACAGCCTGGGTTATCCTGGACTTGATTGCTTGCTGAGAACAATCTGCGAAGCTGAGAGATACTCCTTAAATGAAAACGGAGTGCTCGGCGACATCCTTCAAATTATATTCACGTAAATATCAAAAAGAAAAATTATTTGAATTATATCAAGTAAGAATAAAAAAAGTCGACAATTGCGGTCAGTGTAAATTACAGTAGTGATGGATAAGAAAATGGAATGGATTCTGGAAACTTAGAAAATTAGCTCAGCTTGTCCGATAAATTTTTATTTTCGATCAAAATGTTCATCCGGCAGCACATTTATGCTATCACACGTGTCAGGCATGACATGAGTAATATAAAAATTATAACATTTGTGCGCATTTCTTTGTCGCAGACCCTCTATGTCAATGAGCGAAGATCTTCCAGATGAGATTGTGGAAGCCGAACGTGAGCAGCACTGCGATCAGCGTTACAAAAAATGTCCTGTGAATCTTTTAGATCTAATAAGCCATTATATCGATAAATAATAATTAAAAAAACTTTGCGTAATTGCATTGCACCGAGAATATCTAAAAAGTTCAATTCATACAACCAAATTGAAAGAAGATCGTGCGAAATGTCTGCTGTAAATTTTATCAGAGATGTTGATATGTCTTATATGTGATCTGTTGTACTAAATAATATATAAAACGATAAATTAACGAAATAAATTGAATAAATCAACAACTAACCTGGAACAAATGAATAGCAAAAATCATAAAAATTGGGAATGTTTTAATTCGTTTTCTTCGCAATTAGTTTGCGTTGTTTATGCTTACTCAATATTGTTTATTATATACTATTATTGTACTGTATACATAATAAAATTATATATATACGTATATGTATAACTATTATACTATACATATATATAATTTGTTTATTATACAATAAAGCTAATTTTTATTTCAACTCTCCATGTCTTGCGACATCAAGCTTATTATTTAAAAAAGGAATATCGATATTATAATAAAAGACAAAGTAAAATTTGTACACGTTTGATCAAGTTGAACATAAAACCTTCTTAATTAATATAAAACAAATAATAATAACATTAACAACAAATCATAATAATGTAATTAAAGATCTCAATACAAACTTTAAATGTATCTTCTAAATGCAAGTATTTAATGTAGAGGAAAAAGAGAAAGATACGATGTAAAAATAAGAAAATTTGAAACGTAAAATTGAGTAAGAATTTATCTTTTACTAACAAATTTTTTATCATCAATCTATACGTACATATACATATATTTAAATCTTATCTTTCTCTACAATTAATAAATTTTATGTCTAACAACATAAAAAATCAATTTATAAAATCTATTTTGTATCCTTCAAAAATGGTCGCGAATGTAGCTAAATTATGAATAAAATTATAAACATGCATAAAAAACAAAGATGCAATCAATAGAAATAATCTGTATTATCGGTGCATTTCAAATAAGCACTCGATAACTTCAATCATTTGCACTCTTCAGTCATTCAATTTTTATTTTATCCGATAGATTTACACAGACCACTATTACATTAGAAATCCTCTAATCTATTAAAGCTTTTTTTATTACGATATTCTTCCATCGATGGAAAATCTATACAAGATTTGAAGACACTTATAACTACAGAATGAAATGACCAACAGCGTTCAGAAAAGGACTACGGATGACATTTTTAAAAATATCGACGAGACTTAAAATCAATGTGAAAAGTATTCGTTATTCACTTTTTCCCAAAATAGTAACTAAACAAATAATGAGCCTCTCTTAAAATTATTTCTAATGCTTGCAGCCTTTTTTATATCAACTTCAAATTTTATGCTGTACATAGTGTGAATTATAAGAAATTTAAATAATTATTTTTTTAAGCTTGTGTCTTAAGCCTTTTCTTCACAGTAGAATTTTATCGTAATTACGACGATTCACTCGTTTCGGTCCATATGTCATCAGAAATATAATTCGTACGACTCAAAGTACAACTGGATTACACGTGTGTTTCGGTAAAGCTCCGAGGGATCTCCTTGGTTTACCTTACTCCTTCAGTTTGCTAACCGCAGGCACAGCGATCGTTTCTTCCACGGCGGTACGCCTGGATTGCAGATAATGAAACATATTTTCGTAGACCACAAACGTGACAACTGTCGCCGGGGTCACTCTGGTGAGGTTTACGCTTAAACCCTTGTAAAAGCCACGCCAACCCTCATACCTGCAACGAACCACCAGCAATACGCCTTTGTTTTACTTTGCTTTACAACAGACTAAAGACGCGAAGAATTCTGATGCGCTATTAAATTTAACCCGCGTACGATTCTTGACGCTACAATAGAATTCATCATAAAAAATCAGACGAAAGAGAATTAACGGTTCTCTTTCGTCAAGAGTTTTACGAAGATTCAATCAGCGAAAGTAATAATTGTTTTTAATAGTGTCAGCCATATTAGATAGATTCTATTTAATTCTATTAAATTCAAACGAACCGATTAATCGCGCACAAATTCGAAGCAACAGAATCTAATTTTACGTTCAAAAATCGTACTGCTGGTGGCTTAACAAGCTACTAAACTAACCGAGACAGATCGTAACGTACCCCATAAATTTCATCGTTCAATCACAATACCTTTATACATGCTACAATATTATATATAAGCAGAACAACCACAATAAGCGATCTTAATCACATCAAAATACATCTAAGAAAAAATATTTCTTTAAATCGTAATTAAATAACGATGACGTCCTTCCTATTCTCTGCGCTGTCAATAAAGTATCATTAGTAAATAACAGTAAAAAGAGAAACAGAATAAAGATATCAAATCTGGGTAAACTTGAATAACGTAAATTTAATAATCTGAAATAATAAATGATTAATTTAATGACAAACACTTTTCGATATGTGTGCGTGTGTTTATTAGTATCGTCACAATGTTGCTTTAAGTATGCTCCTTCGTCCCCATGACTCTCTTTTCTCCGAAGAAACACAGATTCTAGCTAAATTTATGGCTAAACAAGTTGAATATAAATAAATTCGTCCTACTATTTACAGATTGCAGTGAGGAAACTTATTGCTATCGATCATACGTTCCGAGTGCCAGACTCTACGATCCTTGCAAAAATGATCTATAAAGGACTCTATATACTCCCCTTAGGATGAGGTAAAGTATTAGCTACAGAGAAACAGAGTCGCTTTGTAAAATGAAAAAAGGGGGAACGGGAGATAAGGTAGAATGCAGCGAATTTTTACTGTATTTGCTAGAAAGGATTAAAGGAAAAAAAGAAATCGCTAATTTAAGCGACGTCTAGTCCGCACTGAAACTCGTCGACTCGAGTGAAGACGCAGAAATCATCGATTTACACATGTGGTTCATACACATTATGCGTCAAAGATTGTTCGAACGTTACACAGATAATAAGTATATCGTGTGTGTTATTCGTATAGTTGCGTAAATATTTGGTTATTAATTTAACTATCCAAGATTACACCGTCTGCCGACCGTGATCCGTTTCTTCTTGCAACTCTTCCATTTGAATAGAGCATTAATATAGCATTAATAGAGCACCATCTTATACCAATATAATCAATATAAGATATTACTCCTCGCTTCCTTTCGCATAACCGTGCGCGCAACCAAGCACATCTATCTAGGTTTGTTCAACTAAATCCAGTTTAGTTGACACTCAGATATCTACACAACTCGGTAAACAAAAGACGATCATACTCATACGTTTATCCATTGTTTGACCTTGTATAATAAGAAGATATTTCATTTAAAATACATTTTCGTTATAACAAAAACTATCTTTACAATGCGTCCACTATAAGTTTCGCCATAAATTAAATGTGTCGATGAAATAAAGTAACTTTGTCCATTTTACATTATCGCAGTCTCTCAGTGTGTACTTGGATAAGAAAGGACGAGTGGTTGAATAAATAAAACACATTCATTCTACGTACAATACGTGCCACGAGCTATTGCCACTTCAAGATCTATTTCTCCGTTTTGCAATCGTCGCGTTGCAATTTACGCGAGAAGTTAAAACGACAACAGTAAAAGCAATTATTTAAGCTACTTTCCCATGTCGAGCGATTTCTTTCATCACTGTACGATTCTACAAACCAAATATAAATTAATAGAAATACAAATAATAGAAAATATTGTGCACTCGCTTTGTGCGAATGCCAGAAAGAAAACTAATACATTAGCTACATGTCGCCTACAACGGAATAGAATAAAAATTGTTGCTAATAATCATTACAGCTAACCTCCGAGTCTTCCAAAAACATTTCAGATAAAAGTGGTTTCATAAAGAAAGTTTTCCTGAAAAACAATAATTCTGTACTGTAATCTATCTGAATAATACTCATCTATAAAAAAAAAAATGAGGTACTGTTGCCTCACATCATTGAAAGATCATACACGCACTCTGCGTATTGTGAATACCTTGAATCATAAGTTTTGATAAATCGGGGGATATTACCCGCTAGATGAGTAAGATTTAAAAAAAATTGCCTAAAAAGTTACATTTGCAATAAAGTATATAAATTAACTACCGTTAGTAAAATGCTCGTAAATAAGAATAATTAGACATATGTTTGGTGTAACATGTAAAAGGTATGGTGATAAGCCCTTATAGAAACCCTTAATTCCTTCTGACCTCCATGTGCATTGAACGCAATGCCAGGTACCCCGATAATCGTGATGATGATCCTGAAGTCGTGCCCTCACCACTTGGTAAGGATACGTCGACGCTGCAGCGATCAACTTTGACATCGCCGCGAAGACGATGTATTCGGATGTACTCTGTGAAAAGAATCACATATTAGAAATATTTCTTATTATTATTGAATATTATTTATAAGCATCTCTATCACAGTTGGAAACTAAAATACCATTTTTTTTGTAAATAGATAACACTACTTGTGCTTTTCGTGCAGATTAACAAAAAAAGTAACAGGTTATAGCGAATTAAAAATTACTACGCGTAGTTAGATCCGCTTTGCTTCCCAAGTCATAAAAATCTTAATAAAAATATAATCGGTTTACCAATTTCGTGTCAATGGGTACATTCAGGTAATCATAATATTCATTTTTCATCTCTTCGTACGCCATGAATTGTATCGCACCGTGTGAAACACCAAATAATCCAGGAACTAAACCCTGCAAGAGTACAAAATACTTTCTTTAATCATGTAAATTGCAAATTAGTTCTCATTTTATTTCAAGTACGATCATAATTCCAAAGTTTAATTTAAAAAATTTGCTTGCCTTATATAAGCCTCTAATACCCTCCGTCTTGTAGATCTTCTTTAAAGCATCAATCATGCCACGATACTTCTTGGACTCCGCCAGCTTCACATCGTCAGCATATTGTAAGCACAGCCGCGTCTTTACCACCCAGATTGGGTTGGTCATGAGCAAAGTAAGCACTCCGGCATCGGCGGCAGCGAACATGTGCATGGACGGTCCGAGAGGTTTCTTCGAATTGCCACCTTGGATCGAAGTCTTTATCGTGTTATAGCTGCAAAATTAATTCGCTGTTAGCACGAGATATCCAGAAAAACTAATCGATAATCTAGACTTGAGATCTTTATCGCAGATCGATATTCGCCCAATTATTTGGATTTCAAGACGAATCTAGAGCGCTAGCAATCAGCGATCGCTACCGTATATACTTACAAGAAGAAATAGAATCCCCACGAACTGCCCGATCCTAGAATGTTCGGCGTTACACCCCTATAGAGTCCACGCAAACCCTCGGTCTTAACGATCTGTGCGATAGCATTCCTAAGACTATTGTATCGCGGTGCCGTGCTCGCTTGACCATCGTTTACTGCAACCAAAAGATAAAAGAATTC